TATACATATATATATATATATATACATATGTATATGTATATGTATGTATTATATATCATATTACATATGATATATATATATATATATATATATATATCTTACATTTGCATATAACTTTATAGTCATTAAGTTTGTTGAATACATTATTTCACTTATTGCTAGACACCTGTAAGGAAGTAATGTTATTTTTTTCTGCTTTTACAGATGAGAAAAATATGGTTGAAAGAGGTTAAATAAATTGTCCAAAGCCATTTAGTTATTAAATGACAGATTCGGAGGCAGCTAGATGGTGCAGTGAACAGAGCTCTGGCCTTGGAGTCAGGAGGACCTGAGTTCAAATCCAGCTCAGACACTTAACACTTACTAGTTGTGTGACTCTGGACAAGACAACTAAACCCAATTGCCTCACAAAAAAAAAAAAAGAAAGACAGATTCAGATATCAAACCAAAATATTACAATAATTATTACATTAACCAACTCAATTTCAACAAATGTTTATTAAATACCATGTGCAGGTTATTGTATTATACTTTCCAAAGAATGAAAACACACATAGTACCTTTAAGAAAATTATAAGCTAACAGGAGGGATAAGACAGAACACAAGGTATAAAGTTATAATGTTAATGGATAAAGTATAGATATCATATGAAAATTTTGAGATGGAAGCGATCATTTTTCCTTGAGAGGGTCATATGCAAAAAGACAGCCACCAAGCAATGATTTTTTTTTTTATCAGATCAGCCACAAATAGTTTCCATTAAGGCTTAGAGGGGTTGGAGTCTGTTATGGTTGAGGGTATACTCAAAATAACAAAACCAAAAGGTCTTGGAATATTAGAGAATGAAAGGTCCAGGCTTGCTGTGATATGTTCTTTCCTACTGACTAAGGTATAAGAAGGATTATCATCCCCTCCACACATCACATCCATAGAGGGAGTATCCACATCATTGAAATCCAATAGATAATGTGTATAGATACATAACACATATGTTCTGAGGCTATCCTGTAGGGGTTTATATACATTTGTATATTAATGTATTTCATACATAATTTAGAAATCCTTGAACTATTATAGAAATATATTATTATTATGAAATTTGAATGGTATATTCTTATTTTCCACTCTCCATTATGTATATATGAATTAGATCTTTGTGTGCTGAGCCAGCAAGGCTGTAGGACATGCCCTGTACCCCAAGTCCCTTTTTTCAATGATAGAAATGTCACAGAAGCTATTTCTATTTTGAGAATTGCCTGGGACACCAAGAGATGTCCTACTCTGGCACAGTTTCCAAACTAATTTCAGGAAAAGCCCTTTTCTTTAACCTACCTCCTTTTTTTCATCCATCAAACTAAATGAATGCAACTTACTATACATGTACCTCACAAGGGGGTTGTTAAGCTTAATTAAACAACTGTCCATAAAAGCAAAATGCTTCCAAAATGTTTCCCAAGAATTTATTTAATTAATGGAATAAATTTAGTCTTATTTATGTCTAGGACCACACATACACACACACACACACACATACACACACACACACACACACACACACAGAGCTGTGACCATACATATAGTCATGTAATGAAGTATTATTTTCTTTTGACCTAGAAACTGAGGAACTTACAGGCCAAGGTGAGAAAGAGGACCAGAACAGTTTCACTCAGGAATGTTTGTATAGCTTCCCCATAGGAGTACAAATGAATGGGCCAGGGGAAAATAAACAAAAAAACAAAAACTAACTACAAATCTGACCTTGCCACTTGAAAAGATGAGGCCTAAATACAACTCTGTTTCTGTCTGTATGCTATCGTTATCTCTAATGAGAATAGACATTGCAAGGACATTTCAAATTGTACTTTAGGCAATGAATTAGCTGGTAGATCCAGAACTAGACTGTTTTATTCAAATATAAAATGCTGGTTCATCTGCTCTTTTCAGCAAAGTTATACACCTGTTTCTATCAAGATAAAATTCCACTCTAAGAATTCTTTGAGGGCAGCTAGATGACACAGTGGATAGAGCATAAGGCCTAGAATCGGGAAGATATGTGTTCAAATGTGGCCTCAAACACTAGTTGTATGACCCTGGGAAAGTCAAATAACCTTGTTTGCTTCAGTTTCCTCATCTGTAAAATGAGCTGGAGGAGGAAATGGCAAACTACCCTAGTATCTTTGCCAAGAAAATCCCAAATGAGGTCCTAAGGAGTAGGACATGAATGAAACAATCGAACAACAAAGAATTCTTTATGTAACTGCCATTGTTCCTTTCATAGCAAACCTTGAATGTTACATGTGTCTCTGTACATATAGAGACACATATAACTTAAAAAAATATATATCTAAATTCCAAACCAGAAGGTTTTGTGAAAGTGCCATTGTTTTAACTGCTATATTATCCAGTGTTAAGGACTAACCAATGATATCAACAATCAGAAACTTTAGACTGACTTGACCAATAACTAATATTACTTCAATTTCTGCCACTTAGAGATTAACACTAAAAGTTAATAAATACTGATGTCGATAGGGATAAGCCTACGATGAATAACAGTGCTATATCTTGGAAAAATAATTTCATCTCTCTTGGTCTCATTTTCCCATTTGTAAAATGAATGATAAGAACATATCATTTATATACTACATTAAGTTTTACAAAACAGTTTAAATATGTTCTTTCATTTGAACCTCAACACAATCTTATGGCATAGCTGTTAATGTTATCCCAATTTTTACAGATAAGGAAATAGACTGAGAGAAGTTATATTGCCTAGAGTTAAATAGCTAGGAAGTCTCTGAGGCAAGATTTGAATTCACGTTTTCTTGTTGTATTGAACAGTTTACTCACAGACCCACTCAGCTACCCCAGTGTCTATTGAATGGGATGATGTCCTCATTCTTTATGTTTCTAAAATTTCTTTCCATTACTCTTGTTGTTCTTTTTCTTCTGGTTTTCCCCTCACCTGGGCCAAGGGTGTTTTGGCTATTCAAGAAGTCCAAGAAAAGTCTCGATTTATATTTCATGTATACATAGCCATTAAGCATTTTAATAGCATAATAGTTCTAGAATTGTAAAAGTGCACCCGCCTACAGATGAAGAGACTTAGGCTGTAAGAGATGCAGTGACTAACATCACAAGGTAGAAAGCTGATGAACCAAGATTCAAACTCATATCGCAAGATTCCAATTCAGTGTTTTTTCCCCACTAAACCATGTTCTGTGCTTGAGTTAATAAATATCCATTCAGTGTAATACTGATGAAAGCATTATAGTGAAGTACAAATAATGACAAAAATCCAATATCTATCATTGATGTTTGTTAGCTCAATTAAATAAACAATTATTAACTGCTTTCTATATTTAAGTCATTGTACTAAGTACTGTGATAGATATGAGACAACTAAGTTTTATTATGGCTAGATTGCCAGGAAGACCTGAGTTCAAATCCTGCCTAAGATACCTACTAGCAGTATGACCAGTGGGACTTCACCTCTCCCATATTCAATTTCTTCGTCTGTAAAAAGGTAAATAATAATAATAATAACAACAGCAACTACCTCACAGGTTTCTTGTTAGGATCAAATAAGATGCTAATATAAAAGTGCTTTGCAAAACTTGAGAAACTATATATGCTATTTTATTACTATTTTTATTTATTTACATATTATTATTATATTTATATATTATTACTATTTTCATTATTATCATTATTACTGGGGGTGATATACTCAGGTAGATATAATAGACCTTTTTACATGATAAATTCAGTAGAGAGAGAGAGAGAACAGTAACAAAAAAGTAGATCAGAGTGAGAAAATCAGTCCTAGCAAAGAATTTATGGAAAAGGTGGCATTTGGTTTGGGCCTTAAAGTAAGTATAGAAATCCAGTAGATAAAAGGAGAGAGAAAAGATTTTCTAGACATAAGAAATAGCATGAAGAAAGTCATACATATGGAAGAAGGTTATGACCAGGGGTGGAGAACCTGTCTCTTTGAGGCCACACTTGGCCTTTTGACTGAGTCCAAGTTTTACACAACAAATCCTTCCAGTAAGGGGATTTTTTTCTGTGAAGTTTACATTCAGTCAGAAGGCTGCACTTGACAACGTAGAAAGCCACATGTGGCTTCATGTCCCCAGGTTCCCCACCCCTGCAGACATTTCCTTATAGTAAGACAATATTTGTTTGAAATATACCTCATAGGTGTCACATACTTATAAGTATTTCTCTTTGTTTTGAAGCTATTAACTCAATTTGACTTGAGCATTGTGGTCTGCTTTCAATCTCATCTCACCTGTAAAACTTCACCTAACTATTCTAGCCCATGCTAAGTTCTATATTTCTTTAACAACAATAGCAGTTATGCTTCATGTGGGTTAATTTCACCTTCCCAGCTATAGATATAATTGAATTTCCTTGATAGACTATATTTTACACTTCTTTCTTATGTTTCTCATTGACTAACATAATTCTAGTCATAGAGTTTGTGCTCAGAAAATATTTATTAATTAATTTAAAGAAGCCATGAGTTCACTTTCCTATGGACTAGTTATTGTTACAAGTATCATTAATGTTACCCTTTGATTGTTCTAATCTTAGGCATTGTGGTCTCCTGGTGCTTGTGGGTAGTTGCCTACTTGCCACATAGCCCTTAAAAGTTTCTTGTCATCTTGAGAACAGGAAGTTTAGCTACCATTATACCAGAGCTAAAGAGGTTTTTTTGCATGAGAGCAGACACCCTTCATGTAAGCTGCCATTTTTTTTTACCTTGCTTGAACAGTATGACGCAGGAATACTATTTTATTAATGGTTGTAGCTCACCAGCTACTCTAGGTTTTGGACTGATGGAATAAGATTATTGTGTTAAACAGAAGATTAAATTCAGATAAAGTTATTAATGTCAGAGAAAGTGGCTGGACCACTCTACAATCAATGTGCACTGAAAACAAACAAACAAACAAAAAACACTTCTCTCCTACTTCTTATGTTTCTCTTTTAGCAATCTATGAGCAATCATGTGAAGCTTATCGGCACAAGGGAAGCACATCTGGCTTCTTCCACATTGATTCAGATGGCAGTGGGCCCCTTGAGCCACTCTACGTTTATTGCAATATAACAGGTAAGATTCTATCATTTTCATTCATATTTTACAGATTCTCTAAATAATGTATACCAGAAAGCATTTATTCTTGAAGCATAGAATTTTAGAAAAAAATTTAAAAGATTTTAAAAAAAGAGTATGACAATACTCTTAATAACAGGTTATTATTATGGAGGGAATAAAAAGAATGTGAAAATTTTCATTTATTTTCAGAAAAAGATGATTGTTAATTGTCTAGTACTACTCCTAAAACTTTTTGCACTTGTTACTTATGTTTTAGCCTAGAATTTTTTTTTAAAAATCTATCATGTAAGTGATTAAAATCAATATTTCTTGTACCTTTAGAGTGTAGAACATCATTATAACATAGACCATAATCAAATGGAATTACATACTTATCCAGTCATGTTATCATTAATAAAACATTTAACATTGTCATTATTCTGGTATCCTCTATTAGTATTATAGAAATATCACAGTGAAACTAAAAGAACATTGAACTCAGTCTAGAAACCTAATTCTGTCACAGATCACCTATATGATCAAGAGGTCATGGGAGTTTTTCACTTTACACTCTCCATATTTGACAACCCTTCCCGTAGTCATACCACCTGAACTGGGATTTCATCACACACACACACACACACACACACACACCACACACACACACACACACACACTACTACTACTACTACTACTACTACTACTACTACTACTACTACTACTACTACCACCAACCATAACCACAAGAAGAAGAAGAAGAGTGGGCTAGGGAATCTAATTTTTTATTGATTAGCATGAATTACAGGCAGTATGACAGAATCAATAGGATGCTGGGTTTGAAATCAGGAAGATTTGAATTCAAATTCTACCTTTGAAACTAACTGAACATATGAACCTGGCTAAGTCTTTTAGCTTTTATGTAAATCAAGTGGTTCCCTTGGCCTTTTCTATTAATCAATCAAATAAGTATGAATTAAGCATCTTCTTTGTGCTAAATGATAGATGGGGAAGATGAACCCCACCACAATAAAATCATATATGCTTCCACAATGCTGGACTTCTAATTCCAAAACAACTCAATTAATATAAAATAAAAGCTCAATCTAATTTATCTTCTCCTTAATGAAACATGTATTGGGTTAAAAGTAAGTTTTAAATTAAGATGCAGGGACTTAACACTGTTTTAAAAACATAAGAACTAGTAAAAAGAGATTTTAGTTTCATATTTTCTAAACTTTTATGTGAACACAACTTCATGTTGTGAAGTTACGTGGTGAAAGGGAAAGCTGATGGCTGTGATATAAAAAAATAAATCTGATTTTGAGATCCAGCTCCAATAAAATTTAGTAGATGGGTGATTGTGATTAATTCTTTTCATCTTTTGGAACCCTAGTTAGCACATATATAAAAGGCAGATGATACTTCTCAATTTTTATTCTGAGGCACCTGTTGTTTAAACAAATTGCTGGCAGGAAATGGTGCCATCATTATCATCATTATCATTTGTAGTGGTATTAAGTAGTAGATATGTAGTAGTAGTAGTGGTAGTAGTAATAGCAGCAGCAGCAGCAACAGTTAAGTAGTAGTAATGTGGGAAATAAGGGAAAGAGATGAAGAAGGGAAAAGAAAGAGAAAGAGAGAAGGAGAAAAGTAGAGATAAAAAGATAAAATAACTATAAAGAACTAGAAAGGGAGAAATAAGGAGAAGACAGTTAAAAAAGGAAAAGAGGAGAAAGGGCTCTGAATCCTCTGAACTGTTAGATATCTGGTCATACATGACATTCCCTTTGGATGGGAGTTTTATAGAATTATCTATATTATACTTTCCATCCATGTAAGATGCCTATTAGTTGATTTCCTTAGCTTTTCAATGACGCTATATATGTAAAACTTGAGAAACTGCATTTGAATGTTCTCCATGCATAAAGGAGGTGATGAGAGAAATTATGTTTGATTATAGCTATAGTAATATTTCCTAGGACACCTTTTGCTTGGATGAAATCAAATACGTTAAATTTATAAAATGGATGGAGGTTCCCTGTGTTATAAATGTGGTATAAACATTCTGGAGTTTTCACAAATATAGCATTCTTTATTCCAAAGTCATCATCCACATTCATAAAAAAATTATTTTGTTCTCCTCAGTGCACAAGTCCAAGGTCTTCCTTCTCTCAGAAACCTTAACACACTATGGAAGTGTTATTTCTTCTTCTTCTTATCATCATCATTATTGCTGCTGTTATTGTCTAGTGTCATTTCATGTCATCCAAAACATAAATACATTAAATAAAACTTTCAGCACCTAGGATGGGATTTTGTCAGCAGCAAATGCTGGTTGACCTGCAATATGATATTGTCCCTTTGCATTTCCATAGCATTTCATTATTCTAAAATACATTAGTGTCAATTAAACCTTACACCATCCCCATCATATAACTGGAATATATATTATCATCTTCCTTTCACTGATGGGGAAGATTCAGATTATATCAACAACTTGCCCAAGGGCAGTGAGAGCATCATTAATGGTCTTGGACATAGGAAAAAAGTAGGTTCCCTTTAAGGGAAACAGCTACTAATGAATGACAATTGGAGTAATAGCAAATAAATGACTGAGAAATTAATGACTTGGGAAAAGTGAACAGGTTTGCCTTGGTGAACTTCTGGAAACTGCAATTCATGAAGTTCAGCTACAAAGGGATAAAGGACAAAAGAAATCTCCAAATATAATACACTATGGGATGTTCTACATTTTAGACAGTAAAGTCCACTACATTTACCCACTGGACCTCTTTCAGCTCCACAGTTAGCACGTGTTCTAAACTAGTCAGGTGGAATCAGTCAAGAGCAGCCATCTAGCACACAGAATAAAATGGGCATGTGTCAGAAATTATGACAGATAAACTCCTGAATCTGGAAAAGCAAGAACACTAGGACTATTGAACAGACAACACCAAAGTTTAATTCTCATCCTAGGAGAGAGAATGTATGCATTCTGCCCTATTTTATATTGGCTCTTCTAAAGCCTTGGAAGCATAGGTGGTAAACATAGAAAGAGGAAGCCTCGACACTTACAGGTAAAACTCTTTCCTGATTGGTATAGGGGCAAACAGGTCACTGAGAGGCCTTAGGAGTCTTTCAGTGTGTTTTGACACGCAAATACATAATAGAGGAGTCAGACAACTGTCTGACTCTATTCCTTCCTGTGTCTAGCACAGTCGAACCATGAAAAAGATACCTGGATATGTTTATAAATATAATTAATTATAACTATATTATATTATTTATAATACAATAAGTATAATTAATCATAACTAATGAATGGCATTCATTCATAACCTATTTTTTAAAAAAATACCTTGTATTTGCTGAAGTCTACAAAATGATATATTGGAACTATACATTAAGATCATAGATAATAGATTATAGCTGAAGAGATTTTTGCAATCTTCAATCCTGTCATTTTATAAATAAGTAAAATGAAACCCAGCTAAATAAAAGGCATCCTGGCATAGTGCCTAGCACACCAGGTTGGAATCATATTACCTGAGTTCAAATACAAGTTCTGCTACTTATTGCCTATATGACTTTAATCAAATAAATTGTCTAGAGTTCAGTTTTCTCACCTATAGATAGAGGGGGCAGCTGGATGGTACCATAAATAGAGTGTTAGGTCTTGAATCAAGAATACTCATCTTCATGAGTTCAAATTCTGCCTCAGATGCATAATAGTTGGGAGACCCTGAGCAAGTCAATTAACCCTCAGTTCCTCATCTGTAAAATGAGCTAGAGAAGGAAATGGCAAACCACTCCAGTACCTCTGCCAAGAAAACCCCAAATGGTGGCAAGAAGAGTCAAACATGGCTGAAAACAACTGAACCACAAGAGCAAAAATAGAGGGTTGTAATAGATAATCATTATGATTTATACTAACTCTAAATCCTAGGAGCCTATCATGTGGTTTTATTCTTGTCTCTCCTATTCACTAAACTGTGATTTTTAACATCACATATGCTTTAGTTTCCCCATATGCAAAACATTAAGCTAAACTATGTGTTAGACACTATGCTAAGGACAAAAGCAAAAATCCTATGACTTCATTGAACTTATAATCCAGCTGGGGAAGATAAGTACATATATCAGTGTATAGATGCAAAGTAAGTAGACATTATTTTGTATGTGTCTGGGAAGATCACAAACAACTATGAGGTTCTGGAAAGGTTTCATGTAGAAAATGACACTGAATAGTCAAATTTTGAAGGAAATTGGGTATTCTAACGGGGAAAAAATGTTTACAGGCATTGGGGAGAATCGATACAAAAACACAGAAATGTGCCAGGTATGAGGAAGAGTAAAAAGGTCAGTTTTCATTAACAGTAGTATGTATGACAGGCAGTGGTATATAATAATTCTAGAAGGGTAGATTATGGTCAGGTTGTGAAAGTCTTTAAATAGCAGAGAAATTTACATAGGAGGCCATTGGAATTTATTGAGGTGGGGGGAGTGATATGATCAGATTTGTGTGTTAGAAAAAAAAAAAGCAATCTGGAGGATAAATTGGAATAGAAACTTGGAGCTGAGAGACAAATTAGGAAGCTATTTCAGTACTGTCCAGCCAAGAAGTAATGAGACCTGACCTAGGGTGGTGGCTAGGTGAGTAGAAAGAAAGGGACAACTTAGGAAGAGGAAGGTTGGAGTTCAAATGAGGAGGGATTTGAAGTCAGACTAAGGAATGTGATCCAAGAGGAACTGGGGCATCACTGATGATTTTTCAGCAGGTGAGTGAGATTGATACAAGCAGGTGGTGGATGAATTCAAAAAAAGAAAGAGGCTGCAAACAAAAAGAGTAACATGGAAAATATTTTAATTGGTCCAAGTGAGAGACAATGAGAGTCTCTTTTGGAATGTGGTTGTGTACTCATACATTTTTACAAAGTACTTTCCACAGAGAAAAAGAGAAGCTTGTGAAAGGAAAATATACATGATTTAACAAATAATTGCATTTAAGGAATGAG